GTGGGACTAGAACTCACAGACTCCTAGTGATTGGCCCAAAGTCACCCAGCTGGATTTCATGCCTAAGGCGGGACTAGAACTCACCGTCTCCTGTTGATTGGCCCAAAGTCACCCAGCTAGATTTCATGCCTAAGGCAGGACTAGAACTCACGGTCTCCTGGTGATTGGCCCAAAGTCACCCAGCCGGCTTTCATGTCTAAGGCGGGACTAGAACTCCCCGACTCCTTCTCTAGCCTAGTGCCTTAACCCGTGACTAGATCAAATTAGCACATCCTGTTCTTGGCTCACCTCCCGGGCTTGTTTGGGGATGTCATCAGCCTCCTCTTCTTCCTCCTCCTCCTCTTCCTCGTCCTTTATCCCAGAGGTCACGCTTTCCGTCTGATTGGCATCTGTGCAAAGGAAGCGTCCGTCACTAAGAGGGAGGTGATTTCCCTTCTGCAGAAACCCCCAACAGCTTCCCAGTTCTAAGCCCATTCAGGAATTTGGCTTCTCCAAAAGGATTTCAGCCCCGGAATTCCCCACGCCTGCCTGCCTGAGGCCCAGCCCGGCACCCAAAACATCTCCAGGTGGTCTCCCATCCTTCTCTTCACCCTCTCTGCAACTGCAGACGTCTCATTCTGACGCCCGTCAGAGGCTCCCACGTGCCTCCGTCTGTCTGCGGGCCCCTGGCCAAGCAAGAGCAGCCTTTCCTGGGTTTACAAAATGGAGGCGGCCCTCGACTTTACGACCACCTCTGTCACTAAGGGAAATGGCCATCATCTGACTCACACCCAATTTTATCACCTTTTATGCAGCTGTCGTTAAAGCGAAGAAAGGCTGTGAAATTGGGTGCGATAATTCACCGTCTCGCTAAAAGGTCTGGTCCCAATTATGGTCGTATGTCAAGGACTACCTCACAGCCAGTGGTTCCTCCATGCTGGGAGCCTCCATCATGTTTCTCAACCTTGAGGATGGGCTGCAATTCCCAAATCCCCACCCCCCAGGCAGCTGGTCTTCCCAATTGTCAAGGCTGGGAGATATTTCTCCAGAGAAATCCTTTCCTAATCAGTTGGGTTTGGGGCACTGGTGGTATGATACCGGTTCGGCCTGGTTCCATCGAACCGGTTGCAAAAATGACTACCTGTTCGGGGCAAACTGGTAGTAGACGATTCGCTGAGAGTAGAAAGAAGGGTCATCGAAAATGGCACACGTGTTCCACCCAAACTATCCCTCTCCTCCTTTCTTCTTTTGTTCCTTCTTTTGTTTGTTCCTCTTTCCTCTCCCTCCTTCTTCCTTCCTTCTCCCTCTTCTCCTTCCTTTCTTTATCCTCCCTCCCCTTTCCTTTCTTCCTCCTCCCTCCCTCCTCTTCCTTCCTCCTTTATACTCCCTCCCTCTCCCCGCTCCTTCCTTCCTCTTTACCCTCTCTAGCTTCTCCTTCCTTCCTTCCTTTCCATCCTTCCTTTTTACTCTCCTCTCCTTCTTCCTTCCTTCTTTC